GACGCGACTCCCGTATGCTTGCGTGCTTCTCTCAGTCCCCCACACACGAGTGACTGTGCTCTGCGGGCCGCACTCACGCGCCGATGAAAGGGCTGAGGGGAGCAGCAACACGCAGATGACCCCATGAAATATAAACGATGTGCGGACACACAGAGGGTCAGACGGTTGAAAGACATTTAAATATCTTTTAATTTTAATTTTGCGGACAAAATATGCAGACAATTTCTGGAGAAACACGGTAGTTAGATGCTTTTTTTAAATTTGTGTGGAACAGTAATGGACGATTTCTTTTTCATTTATAATTATTTTGTGTGATGGGGTTTATATAAGATGAAGGGGAAATCTTTTTTTTGTTTTGGATAAATCTTGTGTGAATTGCCACTGCTTGGGCTGCAGTGCAGTCATGAGTTTGAGAGGTCTTCTTTTTGTTGTTTCCGCCATGCGTCTCTGCTGTACATTTTATTTGTTGCGTCTCTCCACACACTCTGCTTCCTTTTTTCCTACTTCTTTGCTTTGTGTTTCTGCAGGCACACACACACAAGATGCACATTGCAGTGGATTTGAATGCTTCTTTTGCAGTGCATGCTGGCAGTTGCGTGTGGCGGCTGTTGTCTTCTTCCGTGGCCATGAGGAGAAGGGAGGGAGAGGGAGTACGCAGCCCGCGTCTTTTTTCCTGCGGGTGTGGAGCACCGCGTGTGACTGCGTTGAGTTGGGCTCCGTGTCCCATTGAGGGCGGGATGGATGAGGGTTTGCTTGCGGTTGTGGCTGGTGTGGTGGGTGCTCGCTCCGTGTGCGTTGTGTGGTGGCCGCGGGGTTTTTGCCATTTCCCGTTGGCTGTAGAGATGAGCTGGAGGATATGGAGATGGTGGATATCTTTTCCTCCTGCATGGTGGGTGGCTGCTGGCGTTGTGTGCCTTCCTTGCGTGGATGCCGTCTCGTGGTGTGTGAACTGTGCGGCTGGGCCTGCTGCCTTCTCCTCGTGTTGTCTGCACTCTCTCTCGCTGTATCCGCTGTGCTCCGTCCATCTTCCTCTTGTTCCGTTCTTTTTCCTTCTGTCTCACGGATCAGCTGATTGGCTCCAGCGACTCCACTACGAGTGATGTTGACTGCGATGATGACGACGGTGACGGCGCCGTGCGGTGCGCGCCGTGTTGGTCATTGCGCTCCGTGTGCTGCTGCTGCTGGGAGTCCTGGAGATGTATCTGGTGATGCGGATGCGGTGGTTGTGCCGGTGGATGTGTCGTGTGCTCCGAGTGACGGCAGCCTGAGCTATCGCGTGTGTGTGTGTGTGTGGGCGTGGAGGAAGTGTTCTGCTGCCAGTGCTGAGGCTCAGCATGAGAATTATACTTTCAGTGGCTTTGATGTGCGCATTCATGGCAGGAATGGTGAACTGGGTGCTGTGTGCCATGTGGCCAATGCGGTGCACACATGTAGCAACTGCGCCGCAAGTTAATGCTGAGCCGTCACGTCAACACGAGGATTGGCGACAGTCTGCGGCGGCTGACGGACCCAACACCGTCGATCCGAGTCCCGCATCCAACACGGCGACCAACACGTCCGAGGCGAAGTCTGAGTTTGCCAGCAACCCGAGCGAAACGATGGTCCCGAATGCATCCAAGAAGAGGCCTTCCTTTGCCAACGGTCCGAGAATATTAGTGGCATCGAATGCATCCGGGATCATGTCTGTCACTTATGGCGGCAGGGAACACGTTGCTGCGGATAACACGGAAGAGGTGAGTGAGCACGACGCCACTGGACACAAATCTCTCGTTTTAGAAAATGGCGTTGCAGGCAGTGGATTTGTTGCTGAGGGTGATGCGGACGGGTTGAGTCAACGCAATGCCTCTGGACACGAAAACCCCAATTACGAGAATTGACCGCGCAGTATTCCGGGAGCGATGTGAGTCCCAACGACTGCTTTGCCCTGCTGTACGACGCGAAATTGACACTGCGTGAGTTAACTGTTGACAGCACTGTGCGTGTGTGCGTGTATTGGGTGCTGCTGCTTCTTCTGGGATTGTGTGGGGTTGTGGCGGTCTTCTGAGCCGAAGAGTGTGGAATTGCGACTCCTCACGGAGAACATGTGCCGCGTTCCCTGCGTGTTTACTTTTATTATTTACATTTTACTTTGTTTGTTTTGTTTTTTTCCTGGAATGATACGTATCCTTGCTGTTTCTTTATTTAATGGTCGGTTGCTGCACACTGTCATGAATGACGTGTTTCTCTTTGTTTTGTTTTTTGTTGCCCACACGCGGTGCCGGCCTCATTGTTGTGCGTCCCACGGACTGCACGAAAGGAGGATTGGAGAGACAGGCCGGATGCCGCAATGAAGTGTGAATGAATGTTGTGGACTGGTGGAACCGGACGATCTTTTATATTTCGTTTTTCTGGTGAAGGCATTATGTATACACAAACATACGCTTGTTGTGTGCTGCTTGGCACATGAAATTAAAGTTCTGTCGAATGAATTTTTTTAATTTTCTCCGGGTATCCTGACGGACTCTCAACTCTGTTTTTATTTTTTAAATTTCTGCCTTGCAGGGCGGTGCGCAAGTTCTTCAATCGCGCTGATTTCATCTGCCTCATGCTGTGTGCAAGCTGCTGGTATTTGTTATTGTCCTTGTGCGGTACTGGTGTTTTTTTTTCCTTTTGCTCTGCGTTGACGGGGAGTTAGTTTGTGCTGAAGGCTGCACGCAAGTGACAGGAGTGATGGCGATGATGATGACTGGCCGTGTGCTGCTGGTGTGTGCCCTCTGCGTGCTGTGGTGCGGTGCCAGCGGTAGATGTGACGGGGAGGACACGGCAGTTTCTGGGAGTGGTGGTGAATCTCCGCTGGCATCAAAAGGAATTGAAACGTCTCCACAAGGCACCCAAGAATTAAGACGTGGAGCAGGAGGTGTTGAAGGAAATGTACCTTCCACATCTTCAGAGGATGAAGTTGAAGAAGATGAAGATTATGATGATGATGATAAAGGGACGGAAGATGGAGAAGGAAAAAGAACAGAAAGGCAGAGTGTTCAAGGAGGAAAAGCTGCACAAGACCCAGATTCCAGGGAAAAGAATTTAGGTGGGAGTGATCAGGAAATACACCAGTCAATTGCACCTGCAGGGGACATTTCTCATTCCGACACTCAGGAATCAAATGCCATTCCCACGCAAACGGAAATTGAAGAAAAGAAGGAGATTGAGGAAAATACACCAGCAGTAGAGAACGCACTCAAAACGGTTAACGGAGAGCACACACTGCCTGGGGGAATTGCGGGTGGAAATCCTTCATCATCTCCAGAAGACAGTGTTGATTCCCGCGAAAAGGATGGCGAAGACCCCAAGAGTGGAGGTAGAAAAAATGATCCGCCGCCTGAGACCGCAGCCACACCACAAAGCCACCGAGACAAAGGCTCAGGAAGGACTGGGGAAGATAAAAAAGCAACAACAGTTGAATCCACCGCCAACACAAATCATACGACGACACCTGGCGACAGTGACGGCAGCACCGCGGTCTCCCACACCACCTCCCCTCTTTTGCTTCTTCTTCTTGTTGCGTGTGCGGCTGCTGCGGCTGCGGTGGTGGCCCCGTGAGAGTGAGGGAGAGAGAGCCGTGCAACGCCCGCACACACACTCGTCTTTCACCCACTCTCTGTGTGTGTCCCCTTGCATGGACTCTCGCCCTCACCTCATCCCACGAGGCACACACATAATGTGCCCATTGTATATATGCACACACACCCATGCATGCCCGTTGGCGCTCTCTTTTGCACGACACGCACCGATGCCGTCCTGCCTGGCTGCATGGGCGGAGCACCGTAACTGTTTCTGTTTTGTTTCCATTGCATTGAGTGGGCAACCTCTCTCTCTCTCTCCCTGTGTGTGTGTTTTGCTTTACGGGAGCAATGAGAGTGTGTGCGCTGGTCGTCCCACGCTTCGGCTTTTTTTTTGTCTATTTTATTTTTTTTACTTGTGTTGTGACTGAGTGCACCCATTCCAGTTTTTTTTTTTTAATTATTGGTGGATTGCTTTGACTGTGGACGCCTAATTTCTCTTTTTTGTATTCTTATCTTTTTCCTTTGTTGTTAAGAGAGTGTCAGCCTCTTCTATCCTTGTCACGCTACCAAGTTTTTTTGACATACGCCATGCGTCAGTTGATCCGCTTTACTCTGCGGTCTTTTGGCGCTGCTGGTGCTGGTTGTGATGATGCCTGCGATGTGATTTGTCGGCGGGTGTCTTGCTGTCAGTCTGACGTATCCTTCGCTCCTTGACGATTTGTTGCGTACCGACGGTGCGTGGGCGTCTCTGGTGATAGTGAGGGACGCGTGTCTCAGAGCGCAGGATGCGTCGCGGGTGTGCAGCGTCGTTTGTGAGGACCGATTGGTGCCCATCCGCATCCAGGCGTCATCAACGGACTGTGAGGACAGCATAAGGCACTGCGGCTTCTTTTGGTGTTGCGCAAAGAATTTGTTGGATGGTGCGTTTGTCTTCAATCTTTTGCAGCTTTTGTGGGGGAAGGTGGGAGGTTGAGGGCATGAGGACTGAATTCATTTGAGTGGCTGCGTTCCGTTGAATTGCGGCCAGTCGTGGCACTCTTTTGGGTTTTGGCCGCCCGTCTCTTTTGTTTACTTCCCACCGCAGCACGTGGATAACACTGATCCGAAGAACATTTGTTTGACGGCGTATGAGCTGCTGCCGTGCGTGGTGCATGGACTATGTGATTGTGTGGGGAGGTGCATTGGGTGACGAATACTTCTGTTTGGCGTGTCGCGGTGTGTTGGAATGATGTTCGGATGACATGTGGAGGGTGTTGTTTGTGATTTGTGTGTCTTCTCTGGTGGAGCCGACATGTGTGCGGGGATTGTGGCATTGCTGGCTGACAGCTCCACGTCACTTTTCAGCATTCCCGGATGTGCTGAGGAATGACGGCTGGCGACCAGCGTGTTGGTGCTGTTGGTGGGAATACGTGCATCGGGAATAGGCCGTTTTCTCTTTTCCGTGCTGGAGCCGATGAACTGGCACGAGGGCACCGGCTGCATGCTGCCTGCCAGCACGTGTGAGCAGCGGATCCATGCACGCACAGACGCCCATCGCAAGAGCGTGTGCGATCACAGTGGCCTTTTGTGGCGTGCTTTTGTGGACGTCAGCCCATCGAAGAATGTGTGAAGCAAACGGCTGACTGCACACGAGGAAAATAAGTGCGTGCACTGTGCCGTGTTTCAGCGTCGATGGCAGAGCGACAGGAAGCCCGTGCTGGCAACTGAGATGTTTGCGTCGCGAGGGATGTCGGTGTTGATTTTGGAACGTCAAGGGTGAAGTGATTTTGCTGCTGCCCGTGTGTGTGGCCACTCCGGCGGAGGGCGGACACAAAAGGGAGGGATGCAGGCGCTGCAGGGAACAGGATGTGTTGACGCAGCCACGACGTGCATGGAGTGTCACGATGGCACAGTCGGCTGTGGCTGGTGGAATATTTACTTCTCGGAGGCAACGGAGAGAGAGAGAGAGAGCTGCTCCTGCTGCTGGCGTCGTTGCTGCCTTTTGTGGCCTCCCATGCCGATTATTGTCTGTCCGCTGATCATGGGTGGCATGCCTCCACTAGTGACGTCGTCTGCAGGCATTTCACAGCACCAGTGAAGCACACATCACGTCGCATGCTTTGGCTGTGGATGTGGTGTCGTGAATGCAGCCGGCATTATTTTGCCCGACTCCTTTTCACTGCTTTGCGGCAAATAGATGCGTCGCCGCCCGAGTCATTCACTGCAGCTCCGTGTGTTGTACTGCCAGCACAAGACTCTCCTGTTGTCTGACGCCTGGCTGACAGTCCAACACCACTGCGTTGGGACATGCAGGGATGTGGACTGCCGCTCACGGTGTTGGGCACCGCTGTTTGGATGCGGCGGCCACACGAGCGGATGTATTGTGGCACAATCAAATGCGTGAATTACGCGGGATCACAGCGGCCGCAATAATATCAGCGGTGTGGCACCACGGAATATGTGAGGGGGTGATGCATGATGAATCACAGTGGGCGGCATGCGAGGGAAGTGCACCGCGACGGAGCGTCATCCCGCCCTCAGCCTGCAGGGGAATGTACACCCACAAAATATAAGGCCGAGACACCACCAAACACACATGCCCTTCCATGCACCAATAAATAGGAGCGAAGGTGCGTTCTGGTGTGTGGGAGTCCACTCACATATTTTCATATCCACCACAATAAACGGTGAGGAATCAGGTGCCACAGCAACGAAAGGAAAAACAAACATCTATTGCAGCACTTTACCAGCGAAAGGCAGGAACAACACAAATCGAATTATTGGCTGCACCAACACAAGAAACATTCACAAGAGGAAAGAAAAATAATTGTGCACCCTGCAGAAATCCCCAACACACGACCCAGGCATGAAGGTTTGCCCTCTGAAAAACAAAACAAAACGCATGCAGACGTCTGCCAACATTCAAACAGAAACACAAATAAATGATTGCTTGCTTCATGCCATTCCTTGCGCTTATTTTTGAACGTGCGGCTGCTGCTGCGGTTGCCGGGCCTGCATGAAGTGGTGTGCGCTGAATATGAACGAAGGCCGATGGCAACTGAATTATTTTTGTGATGAATATTGGCTGCACTTCCCGTGGACCAACAATCCACGTGGTGTGCGGGGATCATTCCCATATTTGTTAATTTGCTTTTGTGTTGCTGTGTGCGCTGCACCTCCTCTTGTGTGTGTGCGTACCCTCCGTGAGGGGTGCCGACACGACGGACCGCTCTCGCCGTGTGTGCATGCGGTGGAGCCTTGTGTGCCGCTCCTGTTTGCTTCTCCCTCCTCCATCTGTGTGTTGGTGTTGCGGCAGGGCTGTGTGTGTGTGTGCCTGCTGCCGTGGATTGGAGTGTGTGTTGTGCGTGGTGTGCGGCGTACGGTGCATGCCTGGCTGCTGCCCTCTCCTCATGTGGTGTGCCCTCTGTGTGTGTCTGCCGCACCTCTCGTCTCCCCTGTTGCTCTCCATGTCCCTCACTGTGCAGATCAGCTCCACACCACTGAACGACCACACTCACGATGATGACGTGCCGTCTGCTGTGCGCCCTGTTGGTGCTCGCCCTGTGCTGCTCCCCGTCCGTGTGCGTGACAACGAGTGAAGATCCAGCTGGTAAATCTGTTTCAAAGGTTGACGAGGAAGGGGGACCAGGTAAGGGGACGGAGGAACCAAAGCAGGTAACGGATCCGGCCGCTGAGTCACCGGGAAAAATTGAAGGGTCCAATACGCGAGGGGCTCCAGGTGCGGGACAAGCTCTGCCACAGCATCCAAGTAAGGTGGCCGCTCCGGCAGGAAGTCCAGGTCCAACAAGTCCGGTGTCTATTACAAAAGAGGGGTCAGGTGGGTCCGGTAGTTCAGGGAGTCCAGGTCCGGTGGCCGATACGGCACAGAAAAATGGTGACAGCGATACGACAGAGTCAAAAAATGGCAATAATCCATCCACAGACCAAACAAATACGAATGCCGACGATTCCGCCCAGAAGATCACGACGACCACGACGACCACGACGACCACGACAACCACCACTGCGCCAGAGGCACCTAGTACTACAACTACAGAGGCGCCAACCACGACTACCACCCGCGCACCGTCACGTCTTCGCGAAATCGACGGCTGCCTCAGCAGCTCTGCGTGGGTGTGTGCCCCGCTGCTGCTCGCCGTATCCGCGCTGGTGTACACCACTCTGGGCTGAAGAGGTGTATGCGGGCTGTGCGTGCCAGCACTCAACCGCGGGGATTTTTATGCGTCTACTGTGGTCCGATGTAAATAAATAAGAGAAAATAATGATTGTGTTTTGCTTCACTTGCTTCCGCTGCCCTGCTGTGTGCTCCGTGTTGCTGCTTCCTGTATCCGTCACGTTGAACGCATCCCGGACACGCTCACAACTGTTTGTGTGGACGCATTTTTGTGTGTGAGTGCATGCACACTGGAGCCATTTGGGTGCAATTTTTTGTTTTTGTTTTTGTGTTTTTACTGTTTTTTTTTTTTTTTTACTTTTGTTTTGTTTCTCCTTGTTTTTGTGTTTTTCTTGTTAAATTATTACAGAGCGTTGTGCGTTTTCTGACTTTTATTGGCTTAATATTTCTCATGAAATGCGTGCTGCTGTTGCTGATGTTTTTTACTGTGCGGTGTCTTTTCTTTTTCCTTTCACTCTGCGTTGACGGGGAGTTAGTTTGTGCTGAGGGCCACACGCAAGTGACAGGAGTGATGGCGATGATGATGACTGGCCGTGTGCTGCTGGTGTGTGCCCTCTGCGTGCTGTGGTGCGGTGCCGGCGGTGGTAGATGTGACGAGGAGATCGCGAAGGATCCTGTTGGTGCAAACGATACTCCTGGGAATTTTGGTGAAGATGAAACGGAAAAAGCAGAACCTGCGGCGCTGGGACACGGAGACTTAGGTTTAAAACCAGAACCACCAAAAGAAGTATCACAAGGCGGACCCTCAGAAAAACCTTTGGGAGGAACAGGTGGAGATGATGTGGAGAATGACGAAGGTGTTTTGAGTTCTGGAAGGGGGGATGAATTTAAATCGCCTTCACCAGAAGAAGAACCCCCAGAAACCGATGATCCGGGAAAAAGCAGAGAAGAAGAAGAAGTGGAATTGCGACAACGAAGAAATGAAGAAAAAAAACTAGAAAATCAGCCACAACTGCAAGTACCAGTGGCACAAGAGGAGCATGGCACACTGCCACTATCGTTGCCACACACGCAATCACAACAATCACACCAAACTACACAACAGCAACAACCACAGCCACAAATACTACAACAAGAAGGAGGCCTGCCGCATGAAAAAGGATCCGAAAAAGGAACGCAAGAACTCGATAAATTAAAAGAAGATACTCAACATACAGAACTGCAAAATAAAGTAAAAGAAGAAAAAACGACGCAAGAACTAAAAAATGAAAAAAAAGGAAGAGAACATCAGCCACAATTGCAAGTACCAGTCGAACAACAGGAACAGAGCGCACTAACACAACCGCCACAATCAATGCAACAGCCGTCACCACCGCAAGAACAAACACGGCAACAAAAACAGCAACCGCCTCATGAGCATCCCGCAGACAATGAACAAGAATCCAAGAAGGATAAAAATGCCGTTTTTGCAAATAAAACCGAAAATGCACAAGACAGTGACGGCAGCACCGCGGTCACCCACACCACCTCCCCTCTTTTGCTTCTTCTTCTTCTTGTTGCGGCTGCTGCTGCGTTGGTGGCCGCGTGAGAGTGAGGGAGAGAGAGCCATGCACCGCCCGCACACACACTCGTCCTTCACTCACTCTCTGTGTGTGTGTGTCCCCTTGCATGGACTCTCGCCCTCACCTCACCCCACGAAGCACACACATAATGTGCCCATTGTATATATGCATGCACACCCATGCAGGCCCGTTGGTGCTCTTTTTTTTGCACCACACGCACCGCTGCCGTCCTGCCTGGCTGCATGGGCGGAGCACCGTAACTGTTTTTGGTTTTCATTGCATTGAGTGGGCGACCTCTCTCTCTCCCTGTGTGTGTGTGTGTTTTGCTTTACGGGAGCAATGAGAGTGTGTGTGCTGGTCGTCCCACGCTTTTTTCTTTTTGTTTTACTTGTGTTGTGGTTGAGTGCACCCATTACCCTCTTTTCGATTAGTGGCTTGCTTTGACTGTGGACGCCTAAAATTGTCTTTTTGTATTCTTATATTGTTTTTTTCTTGTTGAGAGAGTGTCAGCCTCTTGTTTCTTATTCTTGTCAATTAGCTTTTCTTTGACATACGCCGTGCGTCAGTTGATTTACGTCACCCCACGGCCTCCAGCGCTGCTTCTTCTGTTTGTGATGATCTCTGCGATGTGATTTGTCGGCGGGTGTCTTGCTGTCAGCCTGACGTATCCTTCGTTCCTTGACGATTTGTTGCGTACCGACGGTGCGTGGGCGTCTCTGGTGATAGTGAGGGATGCGTGTCCCAAAGTGCAGGATGCGTTGCAGGTGTGCGGCGTCGTTTGGAAGGACCGATGGGTGACCATCCGCACCAGGCGTCATCAAGGGACTGTGAGGACAGCAGGGGGCACTGCGGCCTCTACCGGCCTTGCAAAGTGAATTCGTTCGATGGGGAGTTTGGCTGTAAGGATAGTGTTTTGACCTCTGCGCACGGCAACATCCTTGACGAGGAGACTATCCCTGCTGCTGTGTAACTGCATGCGGATCGTCTGCTCGTCCAGCCACTGGAGGGTCCGTTGATTGTGCCCCCATTTGCCACGGGCAGCGTCCGCAGTCGGTTCACTGTGCCTGAGGGCATTGTTCCACTGGTGTTGCCGTTTCTGTCATGACAGAGTGCGTGGCTGCGGCGCCTGGTGGTGTGTGGGCACTGCCGTGCGTCACGCTGGAGGATGTCCGTCCAGTTGCTGGCGCCATGCACTTTGCCTACCAGTTTCATTTTACGGATGCATCGCCGCGCACCTGTTGGTCCATGCTGTCGGGTTCAACTGCCCGCACATGGCCAGCCGCAGCATGGTGAGGCATGTTGCCTGTGTGCGTGTCAGGGCGCTGTCGGTGGTGGTGCACTCGACGAATGCCGCGATGGCTGCGAGGACATTGATGGCATGGAGCTGCAGGATGACGATGGGGACGGGAGGACGCTGGAGTCGCACCGGTCGCAGCGCCACGCGAGGGATGAGTGGATGGCACCGATTGGGTGCGCCGGCGGCTGCAGAGGAAGTGCTCCGCACTGAACATGAGTGAATATCGCCACGTGCTCTGCGACGTGGGTGTCCCTGTCAAACGCTGCGCGTCGGACCGGTATTCCCGCGGTTGGTATTTGGGGAGTATCCATGAAGCTCAGCCAAACGCCCGATGGACAGTTGCCCCATCACTGATCCCGCACCAGATGTGAGGGATGCTGAGGCTGTTATTTGGAGAGGAAAATATTTGTCCGCGATGCCTGGGGATGAGCCCTCTTCGTGGTGACTGGACACGCTTCCCAACAACACGACGGATGCAAGGGACCCGGAGGAGACACATCTCAGTGCTGCAGTGCATGTGGCATTGAGGTGCATCGGAATGCAATTGCATCTGGAAGTGACTGAAAAGGGTAACGTCCGTTGTGTCTCATGCACGGACGGAGCGACGATTGCGTGGGCCACTCCACCCTGCGATGGGGAAGCGTTATTTGCCGTGACCACGCGCAGGTGTGCACGATATCTTTCGCCAGCGGTAGCCTACTTCCAGTGGTTCCGTGGGACGGCGAGGAGAGGGCATGAAGCAGGACGGTTTCACCGGCATCTACTGAACAAGGATTGCCAGGGGCATCTGTCCCCGTTGCGGAGAGCATTGAGACCGGCCGCGGAAAACCATCAAGGGACTTAGACACGGCTGCTCCCCAGAAGCATCCGTTGGCAGAGGAGAAGGAAGTCGCCCCAGGTGCCACGACGGCAACGGTGTGATCTTGCCCAGCGACACCGCGGGTGCGCCGCAGGAGGCGGAGAAGAAGAGCGATGTTCCGGACAACGACGATGTGGCCGCCGATGGTGTGACGTCTGTTGTGGGACAATCCAACAGGAGATGAGGCCGCCAGCGACAAGGCCGGTGGCGGTGCCGCAGCCACGGGACTCAGGATCCCTGATGCCGCTGATGACGCGCATGGCGCCGTGGACCCTCCGCCGAGGGAGGATGATGCAGCGGTGGGGCGCGGGGATTGGGAGGAAGACATGAAGTACGCCTCGCCTTCGATCCGCGGCAATAACACTGCTGCTGCTGCTTGTCCCTGTCCGCCGCTTCTTCTACTTGCCGCTGCCGCCGCCGTGCCAAAACTCTATTGGGTGGCTGCATGGATTCCGCTGCACGACGAGGCGACTGCGGTTGAGTCCTGCGTGGCCCGCACTCAGCAATGGTTGCAAGAGAGAAAACCCTATATCAATTGGCATTTCCTATCAGGATATACATTTATGTGCCCTGCTTGTCTGTATAATTTTTACCAGGGATATGCTGTATACACTCTTTCCCTTTTGCGTTGGTTGCTAATGTGGCAGCACAACGCGTGTTTTGATGGTTTTGGGATAACAATTTGTTCGACTTTTTCTGGAGAATACTTTGGGTGCGTGTGCAAGGGATCTGTGTGGGTTTTGATTTTTTATTTTTATTTATTTGCTTTGGCATTGTGTAATGATACTTCGCTTCTCCCGTTATGTGTGTTTTGGATTGTGTGGGTAAAATGAATTGTGTGAAATAGCAAAACATTGCTGCGTGGCGTGTTGCTGTCCTGTGGTGTGCTTGCTGGTGCGGTGGCATAGTGTGATGCTCATTGTATTACTCCTGTTGCGTTCGTTTCTGAAGTGTTGCTAGGGCACCGGGAGTGGATGCCTGTGGACGCACACCGTGCATTATGCGTGGCATTGGTGGGAGGGGAGACTGACATAGTTGGCGGGATTCGGTAAGGCGCATTTTTGCCCACGGACCCTGCAGCTGCACCAGCCTGAGTGGCGCTTTGCATATGGACGTGTGGATTGGTTTCATTTTGCGAGGCTTTTTTTACTGCTTGTCATTTTCCGCTCGGATACCGTGCCCGTGGCAGCTGCATTGGCATCAAAAGAGCCGTGTGCGTGTGTGTGTGGAGAGTCCTTGATTGAGTACCTGCCTTACTTCTCTGTTATGTCAACTGATTGTTCCGTGTGCCGGCCAAACGATCGACACGACGTGCTGCCGACGGCGGGGTCCACGTGACATGATTTTGCGTCGCGTGCTTCAGCGCGGGTGTGTGATTTCCGCAACATTCGTTGGGCGGTTGCCTGTTGGGTTGTTGAGGGTGGCGTGGCGACGGGTGCGGA